TTTTTTTTTTTTTTTTTTTAAATACAACATTATAAAAATAAGTCAGGTTATATAGCTGCTGACGTTATGTGACACACCGAAAGGCTCTTAAATATTTGTTTTTACTTTTCTCAAAGTCACTCACGAAATGACTGCTGTTCTGTGCAAACAGACTCGAGCATGAAGGAGTTCATATTTCAGACCGTTTTGTGCTGACATGTGGTGTATCTGAAGAACCACACTGTCATGGTTGTGTCAGCCTTGCATCCATCTTTGCACAGAGGAGGAAAGAATCCAGTTGTTTATTTACTTTTAAAATAAGTTTTCTTTGACTTGACTTTAAAGTTGTATTGTCACTCAAAAAAAAAAAAAAAAAGTTCCAGTGGTTTAAAATAGAGGCAGCTGTTGACGTGAACCTCCTGTACTTGTAGTGTTTTTTTCACTGAATGAGGCATGCAGTAACAACGTTTGGAATGCGTTAGATTTTGAGTGTGTTTGTTATATACTGCTTTACAGGTTTGTAATAAAAATTCAATCTTGAAATGCTGTGGAAAACTTATCTGGGACCGCGTTATTTAATGCAGTAAAGGTCCATCTGGACCCAGGTGGCACAACTACACAACAATTCAGAAGACAGAGAAACAGAACTCAAACAGTTTCAATAAAAACACTTTAATAGAGAAACAAATAAAAAGAAAAGAAAATAAACCTTTGAAACACAGTCAAAAATCCTTGAATCATAACCACCACCAACTGAAATGAAGAAGAGTAAAACAGATCTATCCATTGTTTTGTACCCACGAGTAAGGAACCAATGGGACTGGGAAGCTGGGAGGACAGGTGAGCCATTGATTCACTGCAGCGAGGGAAGAACAGAGGAGAGCCAACAGATAACGGGAAAAGATGGCGCTTATAGAAAGCTGAACACAGTGCTCTCTGCTGGCTGGGCAAAAGGTTGCTCCCATTCAATGTGCCACACACAAGATGGTTTCACTTTGTCCCCCCTCCTCACTTAAATACACACCTCAGACTGTGATTTCTGGTAGGTGAAATCAAACTGTTACACACATACACAAGACAGTGCTTTTATTGTCTCCTTTCAAAAGAAAGACTCCTGACAGGGAGCTGTGAAAAAAAAAAAGAAATGAGTATTTCTTTTAAAAAAAAAACAAACAAACAAAAAAGGCTCGATCTCCTCTGCTTCAAGACCAAAACTGTATCTATAGAAGTGGTGAAATATTAGTATTGCACAACTTCAGAGACCAGCCAGCGACTATTGTGTGGAAAACAGATCACCTAAACAAAGTATTTTAAATTCAATACACACGAGGGAGCAACCTCAGCTTCACATCTGCCAACTAACTGCAGAAAGAAAAAAAAAAAACAAAACTAAACCAAAAAAACCTAACATGACCATTACATATTTGATTCACACATTAGTAAAATAGTATAATAGATTTGTTGATAATGTCACAAGTTATTGTACACATCAAATAATATACCAAAATCTGACTCTGTAGGTTAAACAAAAAGCTTTTTTTTTTTCTTCTTTTTTTTCCTCCATCGATAAATCAATACAAACTGGTAAAAACAGGGATAAAAACCAGCCAGATCATCTCAACATGCAAGAAAAGAAAAAGACTTCACATTTAAAAACAAATCCATTTTGATTGTTGTACAGCTTGGGGAAGTGGTGAGAAAACAGGGAAGGACTAATCCAGCAACATGTACTTAAAAATACACATTGTACAGTGAAAGAAGTTGTAACAGCTGCAACATAATGTCTCCTCTGCCTAATAAGCCAGACACCATCTTTAAGAGAAAAACAAAAACAAACAAAAAAAACCAACAACAACAAAAAAAAAAATCTAAAAAAAATAAATAAATTTCAAGATGTTGCAACTACCAACTGGGTTGTTGTTGTCCATTTCTAGAATTCTTTGTTTTGTGAATTTGCATAATTAAAAAGGGCATACCTCTTCTTTGAACAGCTTCTACAAAATTGAGGCGTTCCCAAAGTTCTTGTTTGTAAATACCTAGAAAATGCATATTTACATGTATGTGTTCTCTGCAAAGTCAAAAAATCTGGACCTTTGAGCTAGAATGTGACAAAAATGAAACCATACCGTGTATGAAGCTCTCTGCTGAAAACAAAGTTATTAGCAGTGGGGTTCTGAGGAAGTGACCTTTAGAGAGATTTATGAGAGATTAACTACCATGTGGAAGCCAAGAAACAGCAGGACGATTTATTCTTTTTAGCAAATTGCAGATGGGGCAGTGATGTGTTAACAATTCATGAATTACATGACAGGACTGAGCACTGGACCACTGTCGTCACTATTGCTTTTTGTCTTTTTTTTTTTTTTTTTGTTAAATAAAATAGGCAGATACAGTGTGCGAGCATCTTTTTATACTTAATTTCCACATGACTCAAATCAGCTGGGTTTCAAGTAAAATTCATGTGCACGTACGTGTGTCTTTCTCTTGTGTGTCAACTCCTTTTGAGTAACTCAGCGGCATGATTCATCCTGTAATTTATTAAGATGTTACAAATATAGAAAAATGTTGTCGTAGTGAAATGCAAAGCACGAGCAGAGCAATTTCAGTTAGATTAAAGAGAATGAAATGCGTCTACTGCAGTAGCGTTAATATATCTAATCTGAATAAAAAGGATCTGTGAACCACGAGGAGCAAACCCAACATTTCCGATTCATTCTTTATATTCACACCCTAAAAGCAAAACAGTCAAAGGTTTCTGAACAGCGAGTTCTATGTTACTCTTCATTTTTCTTTTCCGCAGTTTTAAAAGGTTGATATTACATACTCTGAATTTCCAAAATACCCAGCTCATGGAAAAGCTGCTGACTTTGAGCAGAACTGGAAATGATCAATGACCAATGTTTGCGACAAAACAACAAAAGATGTAAGTAATATTTATTCCTAAGGACTTCAAAACCTTTGGACATTCTGGCCTAAAACTAAGTGGCAAGAAACTGGCAAATCATCTGAGATCAGGTTAACATAACAGGTCTATCATCAACTTTGGGCAATTTTCTATTCATTGTTATTATAAAGAAAATAAAGAAGCATATATATATATATATATATATATATAAAAAAGGTGTCACACCTACAACATTTCAGGGTGTTTACTCTTAAGTTCCAACATACGTAAGACCAATAATTTAGTGTGTTCAAAAACATCTGACTGCAATTCTAGATCTTCTCAGTTTGCCTGTTAGACACACTACTCTGACCTCACTGGCCTTTCTTCACATACACAAACCTTCAGAGTACTGCAACCTTTTCAAACAAAACAACACAATAAAAACAGAACTCTGTCCAATAGCAAAACACAAACAAACAAACCATTTCACTCCAGTAATTATACTGAAACAATGTCATACTGTTGGACAAGAGTTGCAAAGTAAGTCCACGATGCAATGACGGTCTTAAACAAAGAATAAAATAAAATAAAATAAAACCAACAACAACAACAACAACAAAGAATTCATGTAACTGCGTGTCAGCCACAAGCAAAGCAGTCTAGGATAATCTTATCACTGAAAAGGATGGTGTTCTCTGATCTTTAACGCAAAGAGAGGAGGAATGAAACAGTTGTTGCTGCTTTGATGTTGAAGCTGGTAAAAGCTAAAATATGCAATAGATATTTGTCATTTTTTCCCCATAAATAATCACATTTTCTACTAAAAATGACTGAAGATGATTCCCAGGTAAGGATGTCTAAGAATTAAAGATCAGAAGCTAAAAACAGGAAAAACAAAACTTTAAAACTCATATTGCAAATCTAGCATGATACAGGAATTTAAGGACATGTCTGTGGCATACGATTCAGTCTTTTATTTTTTCTTTATATGTACATATTAGAGCAAAATTTATCTACTTCTATACACTGTTCCATGTAGTTTCTGTGTCAGTTGACCACTTAGCTTATGTCCATTACATCTACAGTAGTATGAAAATCAATAAGTAATGTCCACTCGAAACTGAGGAATAAAAAATAATAAAAACATACTTATTTCGCAAAACAACTTCAATAAGGAAAAATACAAGCAGGAGCTAAGTGGTCAACCAACAGACACCATTGTTTTTGAGCTTTTTATGTTTTTTTATGTCTGTTTTTTGCTTTTTTTTTTTTTTTTAGCATTACGTACATATACAAGTGTAGATAATATAAGTATATATTCATATATACATAATGAGTATGTATATATACCAGTAATGCATTCATTATATATACTTATTTTCTTCACAGATATGTGAAATAGGAGGAAAAAAATGACTGTTAAAAATAAAAAGTTTAAATGAAACAAAATGCATAAAACCAACCTACTGATAGAAACAACTTGTAAATGCACTTTGCACAATTTTTGTGTTTTTAGAAATGATTTTACCTTTTTTATAATTTTCTTTTTTATTTGTTTTTTTTTTTATTTGTTTTTTTTTTTTAATTATTACTTATTCACTTATGTGGGAGAAGTGACACTCATTTAAAATAGGAATAGTACCCATTGCTACCATTTGAACTTCCTATACTCAGCTCTTGTAGGAGGGAGAGGGGGTCGCTATTCTTCTTGACCTGTTCAGGCCGAACTGCCCGGGGCTTAGGTGGAGCGCGAAGAGCGCTCGCGTAGGACATGGTAGGCTGTTTGCCTAAATTTGGAGCCCCCTCGCTGGGCTCGGTGGGAGGCTGGGGCTGCTGCTGCTTGTTGTTGGGCATGAGAGGAGGAAACTGATGCTGAAGGGAGTTGAGGGAGTGTGGATGTGTCTGCTGTGTTCCTGTGGCTTCTGCCTTTGCATGCTCCTCTGCCTGACGAAGGGCCTTGGAAGCTGTCATATGGGAAGGCAGCCAAAGGTTATGAGAGGTGAATGAGACACGGACATAGAATTTAGCATATATAATAAACAATTATCTCAAAACAATCCAAATAATCAAGTGAAGAGGAAATTGGGCTTGAAAACAGAAAGATTTACCTAGAAGGTCCCGATGCTGAGCGAGTGTGCCGGCTCCGTTACATGGAATGTTCTGAAACGGACCCGGACCGCCTCCATTACTTGGCCAGAGGTGGTCATGTGAAGGATAGCTGTAGGGGGCGTGTGGGTGCTGATGATGCTGTATGTGAGGATGAGGGTGGTCCTGGGTATCTGATGCACAAGGCTGGGATTGCTGTGACAGGGTATTGTGGGTGTTGGCTGGAGATGATTCATCTGGGTAGGTGGACGAGATACGGCGTTGATAAAGAGGCCGCCCTGGACCTCTGGGTTCATACTGTAAACACAGATACAAAAACAAGGTCAGAAGGTGATATATATAGTGACTACAAAGAGTATTCAATTGGTTTAAATTCCCAGTGACTGACAACAAAGTGAATGTATGCTCTCAGTGTTGTAATAACCTTTTCCAGACCTTGCTTAGTTTAGTTACTTCTTGCAGAACAGCATTACAGTAACACATCTTCCATATTGATTTTAATTTTAATTTTTTTTAAGTTAAAATTTGGGTGATTTAAAAACAAAACTTTAAGCCCACAATTATCCACCATTGTCTGTTGGTGTATTATAATCCAGGGCTGTTTGAAATCCCTACTTTAAGAAAGCCGCGAGCAGTAAGACTGAAACAGCGTTTCAGTTAATAACTTGATTTGGCTGAATTCTGGCTTACGATTAATATGACCATATGGTTAATTAGCATTACATAATGTTCTTACTAATTCATTTCCCAAATAGTATTATTTATGATATTTACACAAAGCAACAACCTCTGGTACTTCAAGTTTGAGTGTATCCTTAAAGTGTTAAAATGTTTAGAGCCTGAGGCATTAATTTCCAACATTAAAACAACTGCACAGATTTTAGTTTAATAAGTCATCTATCTGGATACTAGAAATTGGAGTAGGACTGATCTGATGACAAGTGATCTGACACAAGCAGCTGTAGCCACACAGCTGTAGCCCCACAGCTGTCTGCTGGGCATCACCGCCCATAATTGGAGTAACTGGATGAACTGGATCTTTGTGCCTTCACTTTTAGCTGTGCCCCCTTAACTTTGTTGCTTTGGACGAATAACCTTAGCATAGAGATGCTACTTCAGGCATTGCTAATTTAGACTCATTGCTAATTTCACTGAAATATTATTGAATACCACATTAATGAAGAGCCCTTACCTCATCTACATTGTGATGTGCTGTGGCTGCTGATGTTCTGGGGGATAATGGGTGGTAGGGCTCCTGATCTGGACCTTGATTTTGTTGTTGTTGTTGCTGTTGTTGTTGTTGCTGCTGCTGCTGCTGCTGCTGCTGCTGTTGTTGTTGCTGCTGCTGGTGTTGATGGTGAAGCTGCATCAGGTGAACCTGCTCCTGCCTGCTAGGGTGAGCCATGATGGGCAGTCCATAAGGAAGGCCGTGGCCCTGATTCCCCATTAGAGGGTTCTGCTGTGGTGGGCTCACTGATGTAGCTCCACCATGGGGCCACTGGGCCTCTTGCAGAAGGTATTTGACCTGGGCAGGAGGGGGGCTGGCAGATTGAGCTGGTGGCTGATGTGGAAAGCTACCAGTATTGTACAGGGGATTCCCTGGGTGCTGCTGCAGACCTTGGCTATTAAGAAGGTTTTCGTTCAGTAGATCCCGACCTGTGTCATGGGGGTAGAGTCCTGATGGAAAAGGGCCAGCTTGATTGGAAATGGCACCTAAAGAGGATGAAGGGTCACCCGAGCCACGGGGCTGGGACTGGCGATACTGGAGGAGGCGAGACTGAGGTGGGGGCTGCATCTCAACTGCTTCCCTGGGCTCAGGCTGTTCCTGTGGAGCCATCTCTCTCAAGAGACCTGGATACCTAGAAATGAAAATTGTTTACTTTTTTATTTTTTTGAACTATGTATTTTGTTTTTAAAACAAAAGAAAAAAATTAATACCTAATTGTGCTTAACAAATGATATAAAAAAGTACAAGTCCAATATTTAACCTATAATATTTCTATGAGATCAAGTTAGCAGACCATTACAAATGACTATAAAACATAATAGTGCCCAGTCTAACCTGCTGAAAGTTGGCCCGGTCGAGGCAGAAGGAACAGCTTCATCATCCAGATTGGAACTAAGGCCCCAGTTACCTGCCCGAAGCAGCTGATGGGGGAAGCGAGCCATGTTGGATTGAGCAAGGTGGGCAAGCTGTTGGGGCAGAGGAAAGGCAACACTGGCCTGGATGAAAGGGCTTGCTGCCTCCCCCCACTGGCCCAGCCTAGCTGCCTGCTGCTGGCTAAGGGCCTCTAGAGCCAAGGGTCCCTGAAGATCTGAAAGGGCAATGGTCTGGTTAGTTTTTGGAGTCATTCATGTATTCTGCATAATTATATAAGCTGCAGGGTTAGTATACACAGCACGGTTAAGAATACCTTCAAGTAGATTCTCTATGAATAAATATTCAATATGCGATTCAATATATTAAATGTAATAATGTACTGCAAAATCAAATATTTACCCTTTCATATTTTTAAACATATGAAAGCTGCACATTCTAATCCAAAAAAGGAATGTGAAATTTGACTATTTGACAAACAATCTCTTCACATCTCAACCATGGAGATTGTTGCTTTAAAAGTTCAGAGAACGTTTTCTTTGAGGAGAACGGAACCAGTCTGATTGAACGTGCAAGCACCTTTCAATCCTGAGCAGGATACTATACAAACTTCAACATCTGCATAAGCAGAACCATCTCTGAATACATGACTACCAAGTTCAGAATCTCTTGAAAAAATGTCTATATGAAAAAAAAGAGATGAATTAAATCCCTCAGACTCAAATTAAATGAAAATTCTAAGTAGAAATAATAAGATGCTAATTTCCCATCATCATCATCATCAGATTCAGCTCCCTCCTTTGTAACACAATTCATTAGCTAACTAAAATTAAATTACTAGTAAAAATAGTGTTTACTCACCCAAACCATCTCCTGGGTTTCCATCCTGTCCCTCATCCCCAAAGCTGCTGACCCTGTTATGCTGTGACAGGCCTGAGTGGTGGCCTCCTGGGTGGCCCATTGGAGTCCTAACAGAGCTACTCATCTCCTCTACTCCTCCAGAGTCTGGCCCATTCAAAGTCGGGGACTGGACAGGTCTGTGAGTGGGTATAGGGCCACTGAAAAAAGACGCATTATGGCTTCCACCAGTGTAGGCAGGACTGAGCTGCTGTTGCTGCTGCTGATTTTGCTGGGCCATCCCTGGGTGTTGAGGCTGGCTAACCCGATAAGGAAGCCTAGTGACTGAATACTGCTGGGGGAAGGTTCTTCCACTGATTGGATTTGAAGGAAAGGGTGTACTAGGTGGCGCAAGTTGGAAATTAAGAGGTCTTTGGGCAGCTGAGGGGTCTTTTCGGTGGAGCAGAGGATTTGGAAATCCAACTAGGCTTTCTGTCTGTGAATCCAGACTTCGACTTTGGCCTGAGTCTAAATCTCCCTAGACAAGAAAAAGGATAAACACTAGTATAAAAACACCATAAGTTGTACAAGGAATTTATCACTGCTTTTGCAAAATGTGTTATGGGTTTGGGTACAAATAAGACGGACAAATTACTTTTAACCCAAAAAAGAAACACTTAAATGTCAACAACTTGCCTGTTTTTCCTTCATGTCTGTGGTTTTTCTTTCTGGTGTCTGAAGATGATTCTGCTCTGACTTTGAACATCCTTCTAATTTACCTAAGACGTCAAAAACAAAACAAATTAAAAAGACTTACACTGCCATTTCCACATTGCTAGATGAAGGCATAAAATTGGATTAGAGTTTTTAACTGATCTCTTGATTTAGAAATAAAAAGTCAAGGCAAACCATTTCTGATGGGGTCAGAAGGCTCTTTGTCTGGGCTCGGCTGGGCTAGTCCTAGAGGAGAGGGGTGTGCTACCCCACTATAAGGAATGGGGGAGCCTCTATTTGGTGGCTGCAGCAGATTAAAGTTGTAAGCCATGGCTGCTGGATGACCCATGATGCGAGGGTCCACAGCAAAGCGATTCTGGTAACCTGGCCAGGGCAACTTAGGGAGAAGGAAAAAAAAATACATTTCAATAAAATGTTTTCCTGTGGTGCACAGAAATCAGGCAGGGGAGCTATTGTTATTTTTAATACTATCATTGTGACCATAATAACTGATCAACTTATTTGAAATAGTAAGGACATACATTTACAGATATCTGCAGTGCGGTTTTTACACTTTTCTAAAAGAAGCAAACAGTTTTATAGGTTCCTTTTTAAAATACAATATTACACAGACACCACACCAGTAAACTTACATGCAGGGGCATGGGCATGACCATGTTTCCACCATATACAGCTGGAACGTAGAGGATACTGGCACCTGTATGAGGATCTATCCTCTGCACAGGACTAGGTGACTTGCCCATACCAGCTGGTGTGCCACCCAAAGGTGGTGTGAATGCCCGAATAGGGTTCCCCATCAACACTGCTGGGTTTGGTTGGACTGCAAAGAAGTAAAATTGGTAAATTACTTTACTGTTATGACATTATTGCTGTCAGATTCAAAAGTAAATCTGTAATAATAACAGTAATAATAATAATAATAATAATAATAAGTAAATCTGTGGGAGCATTTCTTAAATAATATTCATTTTCTAGATTCTGGTTCTAAATTATAGCTATTTAGGCTTGGACAAAGACAGTGTTTAACAAGTTTATTATATCACCTGTCACTATAATAGAAAAAATTATTTAGAAAGCTGTCAAATATGGGTTTACAATTCACATTTATATTGTTATTTAGTAGGCAAATAACAAGCATTGTTATACCTAAACTTGTGCCAGCCTTTTATCTTTTGCTGTCCTTTGTCCCTTCACTAACCACAACTGACACAGTTAGTTTTGTGTTACTGTCTTTCTGTTTACTTGCTGTTCTGGTAAGAGAATATTTAGAAAATCAAGAGCAGAAAGGCTATACTCACCATATCCTTCAGGTGGGAGATGCTCTGTGTGGTTTGCATGTTTACCCTGCAAGACAATCAGTAACAAAGGTTAAGAGTCTGAATGTGCCAAAAGAAAATTATTCTCATATCACATTGGTAGAAAACAAACAGAATGGAGAATGAGAATTATTATTGCTATTAATGTAATCAGTAATGCAACAGAAATAGTAGATGACTGTGTGTTAGCTTACTTAAAGGAGGAAGATGCTAACAGCAATTCAGTGGGATTTGCTATGATGGTCTTAGATAGACATGATATACAAGGAAAATGACTAGTCATCATAATACAGAGCAAAAGTGCCAACTGAAATATGGAGTTTAGCGCACACAGAGTCTGCCAAAGCCTTTTTCATTCAGTCTTGCTGTGTTAACCACAGCAAAGCCAATGTTTATGGATATTTATGGATCTCTAAAATATGTCCACACTTGTGTTGTAGCTAGGCTGCCAGCTTGCGCAGAGAAGCAGCTAAACCAAACCATAATAAACTACAGGAGAGATATCTAATATATTTATTCCACTCAAATGGCTTAACATGGCAATGGAATGTAAAATGCAGACTTGGCAGAACTGAGTCATATTACAACAGCACAGCAAAGCAGGATCCCTTTCTTAAAACTGACTAGAGTCTGACATGTGATAGCAAAGCAGCTTCCCCTGTCACGGTTTCATTGTGCAACATCAACTGAGCAATGCCAGACACTGGATTAAAACTGGTGCCTATAGTCTAGCAGGGCAGTTATTTGATCCAATCACAGATTCACTGCTGCAAAATGTTCTCTGAAACTAAGTGTTAAACATGATATCTTGTACAATAATTTTCCCAGACTGCAGGAGTCTGCTGAGAATGAAAAGTGACCACTGATGAACATTTACTGGCTTCATCCAGAAGACTGAAATCAGCCAATCAAAGAAGATCATGTAACCTAATGTTCTCTTAGTTCTGACAAAACAAAAAGTTTGTTAGCTTAAAGCTTCATTAATGACAATAGCACAATCCATCTGTCAGTACAGGGGCAGTGCGCTGTACTGTGAAATCCTAGGTATACTGGGGGGGGGGCATGCAAGAAAGACTGAAAAGGGGGAATTTTCCGAGAAATGTCTGACTTAAACATATTTTTAGTAAGGGAATTAACATGGGGCAAATTTAAGCACAACTATCAGTCTTGCACACTTGCAGAAAAACACCATCTGCATCAGAAAACAGCAATCTGAAGTTCAGTGAAGCATACAGTACGTATCTGGCAAAATGGATGCCCAACAATGCTTCAGTTTTAAATGATTGCAACCACAATGTACTTTACAGTCTTCTGTGTTCATTGATGCATGCTGATAAACATCAACCAAGAGTGGATTTTTTCCCCACACAATAATCAAACTGAGGAAATGTGCTCTGTAGCTTTTAGACTTGAATCCTAACAACACTACAACAGTCAGGAGGTTAAGTTTTAGAAAAATACTGATCATCAGCAACTAGGGCTGCCATGATTAGTCGACTAGTCACAATTACGTCGACTATCAAAATCGTCGACGACTGATTTAATAGTCGACGCGT